TATTCCGGGCAGGTTCGAAGTGTTTGTTACAGCAGCGATAAGGGTGCCTCGGATTCGGGGTGGGTTCCTATGCTATCGTGTAACATCTGCGAAGAAGTTTCATTCCGGCACATCTGCTCGGCCTCCATTCCTCTTACTGATCCCACCAATCATATATCCATGGACCGAATTAATAATTAGTAATGATCGATCCAAAATTTCGAACAGGAACTCTTTCATCTGGCATGGGACTATGAAACGTGAAGTATGAAGTAGGAAGAAATTGTTCAGCTAGCACATTCGCTTCTAATCTTATTACTCTATTGTTTACATTTCGCAGATTAATCTGATATATATCCGTGGAACGGATTAATAATCAGTAATGATCAATCCAAAATGCCGAACAGGAACTATTTAACGAGTTATTCTGGCATAGGACTATAAAACGTGAAATATGAAATAGGAAGAAATTGTTCAGTTAGCACATTCCATTGGAATCTTATTATTCTATTGTTTATATGTAATGTAAACATTTTTTTTTCGAAAATTCAAATTTTGAAAGTGTCAAAATAATTCCTATGTGCTTGCGACTCATATGTCAAAGTTTCATACGGTTCAGTTCAATACTCTTAAATAAAAGTGTTTCATTCGGATCGACTGATTTGCGGGAGGTTTCACTCGTAAAGTAACTTCACCGTAATGTAAAAAAAATTGGGTTACAAATACTATAGCGAAATGGTTAAAATACTGTGGTTAAGGTGAAGCGAAACACGTCGAGGAACTTGATCGACGTCAATAAAGAAGATTTTTCTAAATGCCTACGTTGCCGATGTTGGTTTTTATATCGACAGCTGTGTCGAATTATATCGGGTATTGTATCAAATGGCATCTTCCACCTGTCGTTTTGATACAATAATTATAAAGAAATCGAAGTAAAACTCCAGAAATCGTCTGGATTTGTGGTTTCTGGGGCCCTAATTGACTGCAGAGGGACCCCCTGCGCCATCTGTGATTTCCAGATCAATTAAATTTTCCCTCCGAGTCCTCGTATTCCCACCGTTTTGGCATAGAAGCGCATACAAGACTTTTTTTGCCTTCATCCCGTTCAAATGCGAGTTTATCGATTACCAGAGTGTTCTAAATTGTCGTAAAATTGTCCTGACCCTTTCGATTCTCATATCAGAGCCTTCGAAAATTGTATATCGATCGAAATATGAGAGCTCGACGCCATTTTAGTTATGGTCTGGGCTGTGTTAAAAAATTTTCTTAAAAAATCCAAATTTTGAGTGTGTCAGGACAATTCTTAGATGATCAGGAGTGATGTGTCAAAGTTTCGGACAGTTTGGTCCAATACCCTTAAAAAAAAAGTGTTGTATTCAAATCGACCGATTTTAAGGGTGTTTCACTTCACCTTAAAATATGTTCAGTTCCAATCAATTCCATTTGCCTTCTTACCGGGCCGGGATCCCGGACTGCTTCCTAAGAAAATAACCGGGAGCGAAAGCAGAGGAGGAATAAAGTCCTTCGCGCTTTCCCCAGGGGAAATTCCTTCGGAAGCAGATAAGAGTGACTTTTAATTCCCTCGAAAAATCACGACGTACGATTCGCCATATGTCGCCGGTAGGAGAAATCGAGGGGGATTCCCTTCTCTCGATTCGAAAGACTCCATGGCGATGCGTCTTCATTGCCTCGCGCAAACACCGGGGACGTGGAAGGATTGATTATTTCGTTAGGGGACTTTCGTTCAATGCCGTACAATTCTACAAATCCCGCGAGAACAAAGAACCATAAAACTGCCATTAACATAAACGCCATTCCGCCGAAACAACACAGAACAATTTCGAAATATTTCCTTGTAATCTCTGTTAAACATCTCGAGCGACGGATTCCTTTAAGGGGAAGTGGAACCCCCTTCAAATCAGTCGATTCGAATACAACACTTTTTTTAAGGGTATTGGACCAAACTGTCCGAAACTTTGACACATCACTCCTGATCATCTAAGAATTGTCCTGGCACATTGAAAATTTGGATTTTTCAAAAAATTTTTTTAACTTAGCCCTACTAGAACCAAAATGACGTCGAGCTCTCATATTTCGATCCATATACAATTATCGAAGGCTCTGATATGAGAATCGAAAGGGTCAGGACAATTTTACGTCAATTTAGGACACTCTGGTAATCGATAAACTCGCATTTGAACGGGATAAAGGCAAAAAAAGTGTTGTATGCGCTTCTATGCCAAAACGATGGGAATACGAGGTCTCGGAGTGAAAATTTAATTGACCTGGAAATCACAGATGGCGCAGAGGGTCCCTCTGCAGTCAATTAGGGCCGCAAAAAGCATGAATCCAGAGGATTTCTGGAGTTTTACTTCGATTTCTTGATATTTATTGTACGAAAACGAGAGGTGGAGTACGCCATTTGGTACAATACCCAATATAATTCGACACAGCTGTCAATATAAAAACCAACATCGGCAACGTAGGCATTTAGAAAAATCTTCTTTATCGACGTCGATCAAGTTCCTCGACGTGTTTCACTTCACCTTAACTTTTCGCATCCGCGATCAGCCGAGAATCGACGAGCAGGCGACAAGTCGCAAAGGTGTCGATAATGTCGGTAATATCGAGCCTCGCGTCGGAAAATCAGATTTTCCGCGCGGAGGCCTCGAGGACTCTTCTCCGTCGACGCAGCCCGGAGGCTGGGTTCCCGGGGAGCGCGACGCAATATCTCCGGGATACGAGATCCCGAGGGAGGTCTAATCTCATCCGAGCTGCGCAATCTCTTAGCGGTTAACTTCTTTTTTCCAGGCCGGAATGACGTAGGTGTTTCCATCTCGACCCGACAGGTGTATCCTCGAATTAGGACCCTCCAGGACACTAATCGCCCGCGATGGCTGCCTTTTTCCTGGAGGCGAAAAGTCGGAAAAGAACGGCGGGAAAGAGGGAAAAAAGGAATAAGGATTACCGGGGGGAGGGGGAAAAAAAAATCCCTCGACTCGACCCTCTTCAGGACCCGGTGGGGGAGTCCTTAAATATTAACCGGGGTCCTTCGGCCTCCACTTTCCCAGATTGAGCGCCAATGTTTTATTAAATCTAATCCCGGTCCCGGAGATCATCGAGAACCTCGTTTCCCTTCGCTGCGATTTCTCATCCCCTTGTTGTAAATGAAGGTGGACTTAAGGTGTTATGAAAGGCGCTGAGAAATTTAATCGAGGTTGATAAATTGAAATTCAGCTGTACACTTTTTCGTGGGAACGTCATTTTGAATACTCAAGTGGTAACATAAACTGGCGCGTCACGTTAGCGACATTTATATTTATGTTCAAGTCTTTTACAGTCTATGTTGAGAATTATACGAAATGAAGCGATCCATGTGTAATTTCGGTAAAGTAATGATAAAGAAGGCGATGTAAAACTGTCGAAATCGTGTGAATTTAGGATTCGAACGACTGTTTAGGGCCAACGTCGCCATCTGTGACGCGTAGTTGCAACTAAATTTATGCAGTTTCTGACTACACTGATAAAAGTCCATGAGAATTTACATACATTTTTACACTTATCCGGCGTTAACATTTATTTATAAAAAAATCCTGTTTTAAAATGGCCTACAGAAAAGCGTTAACATTTCTTTAGAAAAAAATCCTGTTTTAAAACGGCCTACAGAAATGTGATGGTTTGAAATGATCTACTCTGAAAGTTATGGACTTAAGGTGTTATGAAAGGCGCTGAGAAATTTAATCGAGGTTGATAAAGTGAAATTCATCTGTACACTTTTTCGTGGGAACGTCATTTTGAATACTCAAGTGGTAATATAAACTGACGCGTCACGTTACCGACATTTATATTTATGTTGAAGTCTTTTACAGTCTACGTTGAGAATTATACGAAATGAAGCGATCCATACGTTATTTTGGTAAACTAATGATGAAGAGATCAATGTAAAATTGTCGAAATCCCGTGAATTTATTATCCTAACGACAGTTTAAGACCAACGTCGCCATCTGTGACGCTTAGCTGCAACTAAATTTTTTCTCTATAAACACGCGTTAGCCCCGAGGGAAGCTAGCATTCTCTTGCAATCGTTGGTGAAAGTATTTTCCATATTTTCCCATCTGACTCTGTAATATTCCGTTTTTATGGTATTCTAAATTGTTCGAGCTAGGTCCTAAAACTCTTCATTTTCGATTCTATGCCTCCGAGGAGCGTTAAACATCGAAAACGTGCCCGGACCACGCCATGTTGGTTCTAGTCCATGATAAATAATCAAATTTTTTATGAGAAATGAAACTTCTAAGATTCAGATTAACCAATTAGCTGTGTTTGACTGTGTGTGAGTATACTCATCATGAAAACACACGTTTCCAATAGGTCGACACAGTTAACTGGTTAAATTTCTCAGCACCTTTCATATCATCTTAACTTAAAACATATAGTGAAACATATAGTGAATGAAACATAATGAAACATATAGTGAATTTAGCTTATGTTACACTTGAGTATTCAAAAGGACATTACCAACAGAAAGGGTATAGACGAATTTCATTTTGTCGATGTGGATTAAATTTCTCAGCGCCATTCATATCATCTTAACGTTGCGAAAGAAACCGTGGATAGATAGACGTTTCATTTTTACATCTACCGCCCTGTTTCCACTAGATTTACGTGAATAAAGCATATAGTGAATTCTATGTATAAAACATATGACGGAACATATAGTGAAATATATAATGAAACATATAGTGAAACATATAGTGAAACATATAATGAAACATATAATGAAACATATAGTGAAACATACAAAACATATAGTGAATTTAGCTTTTGTTATTACTTGAGTATTCAAAACGACATTACCACCAAAAAGAGTATAAACGAATTTTATTTTATCGACCTAAGAAACCGTGGATAGATAAACGGTTCATTTTTACACCTATCACCCCGTTTCCACTAGATTGACGTGTATAAAGCATATAGTGAATTCCACTACATTGTGTTTATTGGATCGTGACTCATTCCAGGCGGCGGCTTGGCGCGACCCAAGATGACCCTGAACCTCGACGGGGGTGGAAATGGCGCCGGAGACTGCGGGGGTGGAGGCGGCCAGCTCATCCTGAAGAAGCCTGGAGGTCTGAGTCTCGGACTGCCCCTGGAAATCGGCACCCTTAGAGGCTCCTCTGAGCTGGTCGACGTGGACCTACCCCTCGAGAGGCAGGGGTTGGTAGAAATTCATGATGCTTATTTTCGAAATTTCTATTAATGAGCTAATATAATTTAATAATAATATAAGCTGATATAACTCAACCCTTTGAACACGGAGCCATTTCGACATATGGACGAAATTCGTCTGACCGTGCAGGCAATATTGGACCAAACGTCGGGCGCCTTTAGGCGCTCTTAATCCATTTCTACAGCTGGTAGCACATTACCATGGACAGACAAATTTTCCGGACCAACAAAAAAATTACATTGGCTCGGGAGACATCAATTTACATTTTTTTCACATTGTTTATAAATGATGCATTCATTTTTACAATTGATATCACATTTTCATGGACATCCCCAGACCAACAAAAAATTGCATTTGCTAGGGAAACGTCAATCTCCATTTTTTTTTACTTTTCTATAGATTATGTATTCATTTTTACAACTGATATCACATTTCTATGGACATCCCCGAACCAACAATAAACTGCATCAACTCGGGAGACGTCAATTCCCATTTTTTTTAAATTTTCACAAATGATGTATTCATTTTCACAACTGGTATCCCATTTCTATGGACATCTCCGGACCAACAATAAACTGCATCAACTCGGGAGACGTCAATTCCCATTTTTTTAAATTTTCACAAATGATGTATTCATTTTTACGACTGGTCTCACATTTCCATGGATATCCCCCAGACCAGTGAAAAGTTTATAGTGGTTCGGGAAATGTCAATTACGTGTTTATAAATCCTTAATGAATGATGTGTCCATTTCCGCAGCTGGTATCACGGTTCGATCACTCGAATCGAAGCAGAAGCCGTCCTTCGACTCCTCCGAGAGGGCAGCTACCTCGTCAGAAACAGCGAATCCACCAAGCAGGACTACTCCTTGTCCTTGAAGTAAGCTAAAATACATTACCCCGAGTAATTAAGGTGATATGAAAGAGTTAGCTTATATACAGGTTGTTTGAAAAGTAGTGTCAGCGAGTCGAATTAAAATAATTTATAGATCAATCTTTACAATTTGAACGTGGAGGCTACAAGGCAGGACCTAACCCTCATAAAATTTCATTTTTTATAACAAATTAAAAAAAAAATCGAAATTTCATGAGTTTCGGGACCTTCCCTATACCCTCCACATTTATATTCTAAAATTTGAATCGGTTCAGTGCACCCAGTTAGGAGAAAAGTGTCATAAAGGAGACCTATTTGATATCACTTTCACATCATCTTAAAAAGGTAAAATCTGTATGATGGTAACCTTGACTTTCGGTTCCAGGAGCGCGAGAGGCTTCATGCACATGCGCATTCAGCGCAACGAGGAGCTCAACGCGTACATCCTGGGTCAATTCAGCAAGCCCTTCGACAGCATCCCTGAAATGGTGCGACACTTCAGCGTGAACCGACTTCCGATTCGCGGAGCCGAGCACATGTGTCTTCTGCATCCGGTGATAGCGCAGCTTTTGTAGCGCATCTATCGGAGCGCCCTCTAAGGCGCTGCATTTCTGCACCGGGTCAGTCCCTTCCTTCCGGAGAGACCGAAGGGAAGAAATGGGAGGCAGTTTCCGGTCTGGGTCGAGGATCGCATGGTCCAGGAGAGGATATCCTTATGGGATATCGCATGGTCCAGATCGAGGACGAAGATATCCTTATGCGATTTCGAATGGTCTTGGTCGAGGACAAAGATATCTTTATGCGATATCGCATGGTCTAGGTCGAGGTCGAAGATATCCTTATGCGATATCGCATGGTCCAGGTCGAGGACGAAGATGATATCCTTATGCGATTTCGAATGGTTTGAGTTGAGGATATCCTTGTATAATGTTACGTGATCTAGGTCTGAGATTGCGAGGTTCAGGATGAGGTTATCTTCATGCGATATCGAATGGTTCGGGTCGAGGATCGTGAGGTCGAGGACGAAGATATCCTTATGCGATATCATATGGTCCAGGCGGATGATCGTGAGGTCGAGGACGAAGATATCCTTATGCGATATCGCATGGTCCAGGTCGACGATTGTGAGGTCGAAGGCGAAGATATCCTTATACGATTTCAAATGGTTCGAGTCGAGGATATCCTTGTATGATGTTACGTGATCTAGGTCTGAGATTGCGAGGTTTAGGATGAGGATATCTTCATGCGATATCACGTAACTCAGGTCGAGGACCGCAAAGTCTAGGACGGGGATACGTTCATTCAATGCCGAAGGGTCCAGGTCGAGGATATCCTCGTGTGATATCATATAATTCAGGTCGAGGATATCCTCGTGTGATATCATATAATTCAGGTCGAGGATATCCTCGTGTGATATCATATAATTCAGGTCGAGGATATGCTTAAGTGATATCGCATAACTCAGGTCGAGGACCGCAAGGTCTAGGACGAGGATACGTTCATTCTATGTCGAAGGGTCCAGGTCGAGGATATCCTAGTGCAATATCGTATAATTCAGGTCGAGGATATCCTTAAGTGATATCGCATAACTCAGGTCGAGGACCGCAAGGTCTAGGACGAGGATACGTTCAATCTATGTCGAAGGGTCCAGATCGAGGATATCCTCGGGCGATAGTACATAATTCAGGTCGAGGATATCCTTATGCGATACCGCCTAATCCAGATCAAGGATATCCTCATGCGGTACCGAACGATCCAGAACTAGGATCCCAAGGCCTAGAACAAAGACATCCCCATGCGATATCGCATAATCCAGGTCTAGGACGAGCGACCTCGCTTCGAGCCCTTAACAAGGACCACTTCAGGAAGTGCACTGGAGACCTTTTCCACGAGGATATCGCTTCCCGAGCGCCAGGACCTGGACGAATTAAAAGGACAATAATCGGAACGGTCGGGACTTGGCCAACGTCGATGACACTTTCGACGGGAACCTCCCGAGAAGAGTACAAAAGAAAGAAAATGAAGGAACTACCGCGCGATCTCGGGGATCCATCTTCCAGGCCATCGTCCACACCTCGTGTGGCAGGAACGCGAAATTCACGCGAAATCGGCCCCTCTTCAGGGTGGCTCTTCAAGGTGTCCTCTAGGTCCGAAAGAGCCACGGGAATGAGTCGCTCACTTCGCTTCTGGAAGTATCTCTGCTCACAGGAACGTCTTCGGGGTCCTCTTCAAGGTTAGATAATTCGACTAGAGGATGAAGAGCTCAACTGAAACCTGAAGAGCTCCAAAACAAGTCTTCAGGATTCTTCCCAAAAGACGTGAAGACACGATTTTTCAATTTTTGCGAGGAATTACTTGAAAGATGCGACATCCTTGCGGCTGTTTCGGACCGTAGAAGGATCACCAGGGGTCCAGGATCCAGAGGACGATTTTGTATAAGGATCCCTGGCTCGAGTTACCCCGTTTCTCCCCTGTCTCACCCCTCCGCTCCCGGGGATGATGGCGGATGGGCTTTCCTGGATTTTCGACGGTTTTTCACGTTTGCACACCTGCCTGGACGCGAGGGTCCTTTTTGTACTTCACGAGTACCTTGAAGACAGCAAGTTTCGTCCTTCGGGCGAGGATGCTCCACCTCGTGACCGCTCATTCAGTGCCGAATTATGCGTTAACCTAAACGGAGTCGCAATTAGGCTAAATTGATACCGTTCGTCTTCCCGGAAGCAACCTACCTCCAGAGAATTAGGATCCCTTGAATCCTTCCATACAGGAACAGGAAGAGGAACCTCGAGCCGAAGAGACTAGACAGGAATCCTGCGAGGATCCTCGCGAGATTTTATAAGGAGTCCTCGATGAGATGAATCCCTTCGAGGACCCCTAATAAGGGACAGTCATCGGAAAAGTCTTTCGAAATTACTGCGAATAGACCAGGGGGGATGCAAATCCCATTTAAGGTGAAGTGAAACCCCTTTTCAAACAAGTCGGTTCGAGTAACACACTTTTTTTTAAGGGCATCCCATCGAATTGTCGGAAACTTTGACACGTGACTCGTGATCGCCTAACAATTGTCCCGACACTTTCAAAATTCGGATTTTTGAAGGAAAAATGTTGGTTCGACTTAGCCTAGACCAGAAATAAAATGGCGTCGAGGTCTTATTTTGATCCAGGAAGTAGCATAAGGAGGTCCAACGACATTTATTGAAATCGCCCCCACTTTAAGATCATATGAAAGGCGATGAAAAATTTAATCGACGTCGTTAAAATAAAATCCATCTATACCCATTCCGGTGGTAACGCCATTTTGAATACTCGAGTGGGAACGTAAGCTGGCGCGTCACGTTATTGACATTTATATTTATATTGAAGTCTTTTACAGTCTACGTTGAGAATTATACGAAATGAAGCGATCCATGTGTAATTTCGGTAAAGTAATGATGAAGAGGTCGATGTAAAACTGTAGAAATCCTGTAAATTTAGGATTTGAACGACTGTTTAGGACCAACGTCGCCATCTGTGACGTTTAGCTGCAACTAAACTTTTGCTCTAAAAAGACGTGTTACCCTCCGAGGCAAGTCGGAAATGGCTTGGATATATATTGTTTCATTTTACGTACCTTAATTGCAAAATTAAAAGCATTTTAGGTCATTTACTTGAGTCGGAAATGGCTTGGTTATGTAGGATTGGAGTTTCCTCATTTGCCGCAAGCAGCGCTCGCATCGTTAGATCAGTGAAAATCTAAGAAGGGTCTCAATTCTAGGGCCAGTTCCTATAGAACCGATTATAGGCGTCATGCCTCCTAGTACTACTTCATGTTTTGATCAATATACAACTATTGAAGACTCCGTAGTGAGAAAGAAAAGTGTCTGGACAATTGTACAATAATTTAGAACACTCTGGTAATCGAGAAACTCGCATTTGAACGGAATAAAGGCAAAAAAAGTGTCTTATGCACCGCGATGCTAAGACGAGGTATCGGAGTGAACATTTAATTGATATAGAAATCACAGATGGCGCAGGGTGTCTCTACAGTAATTCAGGGCCTCAGAAACCATGAATCCAGGGTATTTCTGGAGTTTTACTTCGATTTGTTTATAATTATTGTACAAAAACGACATATGGAGTATGCCATTTAGTACAATACCCAATATAATTCGACACAGCTGTCCATATAAATACGAACGTTGGCAACGTAGGTATTATAGTAAATCAGGGCCTCAAAAACCATGAATCCAGGGTATTTCTGGAGTTTTACTTCGATTTCTTTATAATTATTGTACAAAAACGACATATAGAGTATGCCATTTAGTACAATACCCAATATAATTCGACACAGCTCTCCATATTAATACGAACGTTGTCAACGTAGGTATTATAGTAAATCAAGGCCTCAAAAACCATGAATCCAAGATATTTCTGGAGTTTTACTTCGATTTCTTTATAATTATTGTACAAAAACGACATATGGAGTATGCCATTTAGTACAATACCCAATATAATTCTATACAGCTCTCCATATAAATCCGAACGTCGGCAACGTAGGTATTTAGAAGAATCTCCTTTACCGACGTCGATGAAATTTCTCCACGTGTTTCACTTCACCTTAAGCGTGGAATACCGGGAAATCGACCCTGAAGAATTTGCTTAAGAAATTACTCAAACCTTTCCTAATGATGTTAATGATCATCAAGATCGGTCTTAGTCTTGCACAGTCCAATCTTGATCTAGTTTTTGCAAATATACTCAAGTTCAGATCATGGTCTTGCACCTTTCAGCATGTTTTCTTTTTCAAGTTGATGGATTCCATAATGAAATAACGTTAATGGCGCTTTAAAAAAATGGGGGAAAATTGGGAAATGATATTTTTACCAGGTCTTCAGGGTTGTTCTTCCCCGTGCGCGGGGGTCTTATCGATACTCGATTGGGTCTCGATTTATCGATGAGCTGGGAGCCAAAGAACAGCGATTCGGTCCCTTAAAGGACTTTAAAAAAGGACTCGAGTCGTCCAAGGAGCCACCTGATGTAATGGCGGAAACGATCGCGGGGAAATCATGCCAAAGGTTATATCTACCGTTAATTGTAATCTATTTTAATCAACCGTTTAGTTACTCGTCGTCGTTAATGCAAATTAAGTATTGGACTGTTTGTACATGTACCAGTAAATCTACATATCTATTGGACAGAGAATGCATTTCGTCCTGACTATGAAGACAAGAGGAATAAAAGAGAGAAAATATAGGAAAGAAGAACAGACTTGCACTTTTATCATAATTAATATAACATAACTGCTGATAAAATGTTGCTCATCCTACAAGAATAATCCCATCAACTGCAAAAATGCTTTACAGTATATTGAAAGTAGATTTAAGCGTTGGAGAGGTTTCTTGAAAAGAAAAAAATGCTTCCTAAATTGGCAAATGAATTTGTAGCAACAATCGAAAGTATTGTTGTCGCTAGTAGAACGAATATAGCGATGTACAATTTGATGTTGTCGAAAAAGAATATTGCGGATGTGAATGGAATTTCTGTTGTACCGGTTAAGTAATCGGTTCTTTTTGTTGTTAATGTAACAGAAATGTTG